AGAGAGAGAGAGAGAGAGAGAGAGAGAAAGAAAGAGATATAGATGGTCCACCAGTAAATAGTACCAGAATCAACTATATCAGAAATAAATTTTCGAGTCAAGAGAATATTATAAACATGTTTAACAACTGAGAACAATACAATTGAGAACTATTCAAAGCTCTCGTACATTGAGCAAAAAAATGGCACATGTTGAAAAAGACAGTTGTACTCACACTACCTATAAGGTAGTTAATGTCGATTTTGTCTCACTGCGTTGATTTTATGATAATGAAATATTCTCATATAAACAATCATTACATCCTAAGAAAAAGCTAATCGTACTGCTCGGCCATGATTGAAAGCACAAGTGAAGACCATCCAGTGAATGGATGAGCACCCTGTCCTTGACCCGTTTCATCGTTATAATTCTCCCACAAAAACCCTGTCCTTCGAAATTCCCGCGCAACATTGGTAATCAAATTGTTTCGTAGATCAGAATAAACACCAAATGCCTCAAACATACATCTTTCATTTTTTTTCCTGATTAGTAAAAAAAATTTATGTAGCTTCTTTTACTTAAAATATTGATGAAAATCACCGAGAATATAATCGAATATTGTTGTAACAAAAAAGTGCAGATAAATACCAATTCACGATTGGATCCCTCGACTGCGGAATAGTGCTTCAATGCAGAAAGCATCAAGTAATTAATGTTAATCCAAATACTGCCGCGCCAATAAGGAGGATCATGTTCCGTGTTATGAGCTTTGTAGTATGGTGAAGATGGTGCAATTGATCGTAAACCAAAATCAGTCCATAACCCCTACAAATCTCCATGTCAAATACTAAATTTTAATTGGGAATTGAAAGGAAACGATAAAATTAACTTTCGCAAAATCCACCTTAGACACATCACCATATAAAATAGTAAGGGTTAGCTATTTCTGAAAAAGAACTAAAAACATGTACTTTTTAGAAGATCTTATAGCATATTCAAGAGAAAAAGAAACAATTCAAAGTACAGACATTGAAATACAATAAATAAAATGTTTGTCTGACAGCCGGTCTTCTTTCAATACATGGCTCCGTTTAACAAAAATTGGATAACTAGACAAATGTTACGAAGTCTCATTCAAGTACTGGAAAGTAGAGTCAAAAATCAATTTTATAATTTTACAGAAGCATATACTTCATAGGTAACCTGAATTAAACTAACCTCCGATTTAATATTTTCAAGAATAATTCGTAATTTATCAGAGTTATGAGGAAGAAGTTTGAGCAACACGGGAAAGAGTGAAATGTATCCAAAGGCATCTTCAACTAGTTGTAATTTTGGTGAAGTTTTCGTCACGCGTTTCATTGGTATATTGGCTACATTATCTCCCTTCAGCTTCTTGCTATCAAATTTTCTCTCCAATTTTACGTTGTTGCTATGGAGTCCGTAATCACAGTATCTATAAAGTAATTTAAAACTGATTTCACTAATTTAACAGATGCTTTAGGTTCTTTTGTAACTTAAAACGTGGTTTAAAATCCAAATTTAAAAGAACATATGTCTTTTCAGTCGAAATAAAGCGTAATATTTTACAAAGAATTTTCCTGTATATTAAGTGCATTTGCATAATGTAACACTGATAGTACAACAGTTATTCCGCCAACTTGTACAGCAATCAAAAATTTTATAATGTTGCGTCCAAACAAATTTTATTCACATTACTGTTCTCTAGCTTTTTATCAATCAAACTAAACAGCAAATCACAGTTCATGAAGTACCTTTGCTTTGTCTTGCTCCAATAAAGATTGTCAAAACGATTCAAATCTGTAAGGTAGTTATAGTCAGCTAAATACTTCTCTTCGTTCTGCGAGTCTCCAGCGAGTTTGGCAAGCTTTGAAAGTACTCGAGCTGAAAGCGCCATCCAACAGCACAAGTCAACGTGATATTCCTACAAACACTCACATTTTTATTACCAAATCCAACTTTTGAATTTATACGATAATTGGAAGCTTCAGCTTTTAATCATGATAACGGATATAAAAACAAGCTTCCCTTAACATACTTCATCAGTAGGATGTGTTGCACGTGGGTAGTCGTCGAGACCACTTGGTAGTGTCCGTGGATTCAGCTCGTTATCCGTTGTCGCATTCCTGCCTCGCCAACGATATGTGCCAGCCTTTTTCCCCACTTGCGTGGAATTCAACCACTTATGCCAAACACTCAATCGAGGATAAAATTTCTTCACCACTTCTTCCTGCTTCAAAAATATCCAAGATTATCTTCAATTATTATAAAATTTGAAACTTGTTTAATCCAAATCATATTGTAACTCATGACAACTTAAATAAAATAAACAGCATACTTCATGAATTACATAGAAGTTGCTTACATAACTGTGATCCAAATATTTTTCAATTAAATAGAAAAGCATTGGTGGATTTGCTATGCTATCTCGTTGAACGATAAACTCGGCAGGTACACGCAATTCTGCTTCTTTCCCGAGTATCATTTCTCTTGGTATCCATCCATCAACATTCATTGTATCCAACCAAGACGCAATTATCTGCATATCGTCTAATTAATTAGTGTCGCAAAGATGTTTTGTATCTTTTCGCAACATTAAATTTCCTTGTGATAATTATATCAGTCTTTCACATGACTAATCACATTAGTAATAACAGAGATAACTGTTCTAGTCCAAGTCAGCAATATTACGCAGAACAGTCTAATCAGAGATCAAGAAATCGAATCTCTGAAGTTTCCTACAAAAAATTAGTGCACAACAAATCACCACAAAATATACTTTTAAAGATAAATCAGGATTAAATTTCATGAGAAGCAGTTGATGGAATCCTTCATCCCATAAGAATCCACGAGGAAATACGGAACGTGATGGACAGGTTGATAACAACGAGTGAGGGCCATAGAATGATTGTTTTGATGAGTAGCTGCTTTGTACACGATTTGATCCATGTGCAAAGCCGATTGTGCCTAACATGTTTGACAACGCAACTCTTCCAAGTTCCTGGTAGAAATCCGGATATCCCTAAATCTCAAAAAGTTACAATTACAAAAAGACATAATTGAAGCTTATAATATGAAAGCTTTATAAGAAAAACAGCAAATTCATAATCAAAAAATCTTGCCAAATATCAAATATTTGCATTACAATGCATAAAAAGACTATACCTTAGCTGACAAACCGTATACCGCTTCAAATTTGTTATTGAATTCTTTAGTTCTTTGCTCTAACAACTTTGAAAAGTCGTCGCCTGAAGATAACATAAATTACTATAAGATGCAATGATAACGTCTGCTTTACGCATATCCGTTAGTAAATGGAAATAAATAGTTCGAAAAAAATCAGGAGAAAAAAAGCTAATACGCCATTCATGAGCAATTTCAGATTTTTGGAAATTAAAATAGAGATAGGAACAACCACACGCAAAGTATGGACCTAGCGAAATGAGAGAATGCAATGCCTCAGGACATCTCAATTCACAGTAAACAAAATTTCAAACAGTTACACTTGTATGTGACCTAGCAAAAAATTCCCACCTTTTATGGGTTTTTTTTCGCCTACGGAAAACGAGATTTCCGTGGATGAATTAGATGCTACATTTATTTGAAGTACAATAAGGCGAGGTTCGCTTTCGGGTACACTACCCTCAGGAACAAAAGCACTAGGAAGGCGCAATTGTCGAGAGCGATCAACTAAGGTAGAGGACAAAATTATACCCTAAAATACTTGCAATTATAACTGTATGACATATACACCTCAACCAATTATTATTTTTTAATTAATAAACTAATGAATAATATCAAATCTTAATACTCTTTTTAAAGTATGCCGAAAATTTCCTAAATTATATATACACCAGTAAATATATTAAAACTTAAATGGTAACCTCCACAATACTAATGTCCGAAAATTCCTTTGTTTTCAATGCAAGAAAAGATCTTGAAGCAAGATCTACTGTTGTGTCTATATTAACAGTAAAATTTCCGAGCACATCCGACTCTCCCGTAAAATAATCCAATTCACCATGTCGATAAAACGCATGCAGTTTAGAATTGTCATCCTAAACGAGACACATATAAAATATTAAAAATTGGAATCCGACGTAGCATAAATAGAAATTTCAAGGCAAAAAACTGAAAACAAAATATGTTCAGAACTAACAGGGGTGGTTATCTACCACTTCTTTTCAACTTAAGCTATTCACTAAACGATACCTGCGTAGCAAAATAGAATAAAACGGCAAAATTAGAATCCACATTTGACGTGGTGATTACACGTGCTGTCCATAAGGGGCCATCGTTTACCCAGTCCGTGAAAATCTCTAACGGTTCATCGTAAATTGTTTGCAGCCCGAATGAATGTCCATCTGCTAATTTCCATGCATATTTTGATACCCCATTGCCCTGAAATCAGTTCATTACTTCTGAGAAAACGAACTTTTAATTCTGGTTAAGTTTCTGATATAAAAATATCACCTGCTCACACCAGTGCCGTATTCGCGGTAATTGACCCTCGGTCTTTGGTTGCTGATACCACATCATTCCAAAAAGTGGTGACGTTTCGTATCGAGCTCGAAGTCCAAAATATAAATGAGACCGATAAGTGCCCCATATTTGCTAAATATTTGTAAACATGTTTAAAAATATTTGAAAATATACTAATGCTTGATCTATGACTTTCTGCAGGTAATCAACGAATAATCAACCTATTAACTGTAACGAGTTTATAAGAAACAGAGACTTGTGTCTGTCAAATGTTTTGAAATTTTAACGAAAAACAAACCGGATCAAGCTTAGTACTAATAGTGGGAAGCTTAGATTTTGTGGAAATTTGATTTGGGAGATAATAATAATTGATATATACATACTGGGTACCAACAGCAAGAACAATAATAACAACAGCAATAGTAATAAGTATTTTGCCCATAGTAAAATCTGTCGATTCATTTTTCTTGACTATCTTGGTCATTTGAGGAGATGGAGAATTCCTCGGAGATATCCCTTTTCGACTACCCATCCTTCTAAAACGAACATAATAATGATTTAAGCAATCTCAGACAATCTCGCGATAGCCATTCTCCACCGACAACCCCACCAAAAACACACCTCATCAGCTATCCATCAGCTTGATGTGATTAACAGGTACCAGATTTAGCTTCCAGTTTCATGCCAATTTGACGGATCGCTCTGAAAATGCTTATCCAATCCTCCTCTGTGAAATAAAATTCAATTTCGGACATTTATAAACTAGTATGGAAATCCAGTCGGAGGAACTTATACTTCTTTAATCAATCCTGAAATGAGGAATGATTGGAAGCATTATATCGGTAATTGATATCGGAAATATTTTAACTCCTCACTCAAAAATCTTTTTGATCACGTCCGAAAGTAATCGTCAATGTTTCAATTTTATAAAGCTATGCCAAACGACTTAGCACAAGCAATTTCTAAGATCACTGAAATCATTCAAACACTCCGTGTAAGTGATAACTCAGGCTCAAAAATTATTTCTCAAGTACAATAATTAAAAGGATGAGACTAAGTTGAGCGAAATTGCTAAAGTCAAAAAAATCTTTTCTAATAACTTGAAAAAATTTACCCGGGATTCATGCACTGAAATATCCGGGTTGTCTACTATAACAAATACAGCTGATTGAATGATACTTAATGTTCACTTGAACTGAAACATGAAATTACGAAGTCTTAAATTTCTTAAATTTAGCTGTTCTTAAAAGTTTTCCGTTAGACTCCTGATTGAATCTATCTTGATATCAATACTAATAATTGAAATGTGAAATGACGCTGACGGTGGAAATTAATTTTCACAAATTCCTGCAAATAAATCTTTTAAATTAAATAAAGCGATGGTTTGTTGTAAGTTGCTGGTCTGGATGCTAGTGTGTGTGGTACCATTGGGAGTTGTTGTGGATGGTGTTGGTATCACTTATCGAATGGGCCGAAGGGACGGGTTTATTACCGCCACCATGGATTAATGGAGACCTGGAAAGTCGTGATGAATTTGCTTTCATAATTACTTGTCGATCCTCTAAATCAAAGATAAAAATATTGTGATTCTATTTCGATATCAGTTTTGGTAATAGAAAACCATCTTCTATTCATGTGCGAATTGAGATAGAAGTTTACATTTGTTATCGGGCAGAAACTCTGGTGCATTGCCAAGTGTCATAGCTCTTGCAGAATTTTTAATTTGGAGGATAAGAGTGGATGAAAATATTTCAGGAGGCAGTATTTTGGATTGGACGATCGTATACTGAAAATTACTTTCAATTCAGTAAGTTTCGCGCTTTTGGATTTGATCAGAAATGTTATTATTTGAAAAGTGAGATATATTAGAGAGATTGATTTTGTTATTTTACTCGTTCTACATTTCAAGTTGTTCAAGTTAAAAACAGAGCATACTTGAACATTTCATCAGATGCAGCAGATGTCCGAGGGCGTGTTATAGGAATTGCTTTTGTTGTTATGGAAGCAAATTTGCAGCTCTCATCACCATTTTTTCACTTGGCTTTATTTGCTGCAGTAATCTGTATTAAAAATTCAACGCAAGTCGAACCCGCTAAGTATTTCATTCATGCCTTTTTATTGGTCGTTCTATAGCGCATTGTTCGTTCTATAGCGCATTGTAATGCACTGCTAATATCATGACTGCAGAAAATTTTGTTTCAACACAAATTTTCAATTATTTGACATTTCTTGCAGAAATCCTTGAAAAAATCATTGTACCGGAAATGAAAGATTATAATATATAAAGATTATAAGGAATCTGATATTAGACTTCCAAATTGCACTTCATGTTTATGTATATCTTGTCGAAAAGTAATATGTATATCTTGTCGAAAAGTAGTTGTATAGAAAGTCAGTTTTTTTTTCTTTTATAACATTCGATAAGTTCGTACTGTTTCAGTAATAGGATTTAGTAAGTTGGACTAAATCTAATTTGAAGGTACTTATTTGATTTTTATTCCAATTGTTTTTGAACCTCATAATAAACTTTATTTCAGAAAGTTTATTATCGAAAATACTTTATTTGCTCAGAATGTGGTAAATTACTGCACTGTTTTTCTTACCGTGATCTTGTATGCTACAAACATTTGCCATATTCTCGCAAGGAAATTTAACGAAAACAGGCTACGTGTACTAGAAAAGCCGTGTCTACCACTAATGTGGTCGTCACTCACAGAAGTTTCCAGTCTTCGTACTTCTGATAATCATCATGCAGTGGTGAAGAACCTAATTATCGTACGCAAAATTACTTTTTCAATGTTCATATATAATTTTTTCGTTCTTCAAGTGAGAAACTGGTGGTTCCTCGGAATTTTTAATTTTATCAATTCAAAAATTAGTGGTTGTTAAATTTATGCAAAAAAAATGGTCTATTGTTTAGCAGTACAGTTTTTAAATGCTCCCAGTCCCACTTATGATTTTATTTGTTGTTGTACAAAATTTTTTAAAGGAAGGAGCTAGTGAGATGAATAGAGATTCCTCTGATTCTGATCAGTAAAGAAGTTACAGGAAGATTTGGTGAGTTTTTTGCTCAACAGCTTACTAAAAATAAATTTCTTGTTTGTTACTAACTGTTATTTATCAGATTTACTTCACCAAGGAGAACTACACTAGTTTGTCCTTGAATACCTTCGGTAAAATTCTGAATATTTTGGATAAACGACTAGACTTAGCAGAAATGAAAGGCAAAGCTTTAGACAAACAATTGCTTTTGTTGTGAAACAAAGTAAGTAGAATATTGTATGTTCATCTTTTAATAGAGTTCCTTCCAAATGTGAGACTGTATTTTAGTACGCATAACATACATTTTCTTATTCATTTCAAAAAGTATGACGTACTGCTTACTGAACATTTTTGTTCATAGATACTTCGTGATTTCAGACATTTCGAAATGGAGGAACAATGATCGTGCTTCTTAATGGGTAAGAATATTTGAAAAGCATTGCATCTTGCTCCCTCAACAGACTCTCCACATAAAAAAGTTAATCCTACTTCTTTTTGCTTATTCAGACCATAATTTCTTATATCAATTTAAAAATCATATTTGTGAAAATATTGTAGTCGCAGCATCATGCTTTTTTGTACACTGTTTCTGAAGTTCATGCTTAAAAATCGTTAATATAGTCTGAAAATTGTATCAATGATAAATTTAAGATAGATGAAGAAATTCTTGGATCAAGTTTCTACAAAAACATCTGGAATTGCGATATCTGATTGAAAGTAAAGGGGGTCAGATTCATAAAAATTTTGTAAAACTTCTAAATCCACGTTTTTAGCCAAAGGTTCATGCATCTATTACCAGATCATGTCATTTACATTTATACCATTTAGGTTTGTTTATCTTTTTATTAGTTACAAATGATAAATATCTGAAAACCACAATTCAGAAAAAAGTCCTTACGAAGTCGAGCGTGAGGCTGAACTATTGAAATTGTTGGTGGATATAATCGATCAAAAGAGCTTACTAGTTGGGTCGAAATTATTGGAATCTGATTTGATTAAAAGTGAAGATCAGTTTGGGATGTATATTTCGTGTTCTGTAGTTTCAGTTTTCTTTTTTTTAAGTTAAATTCATCTTCCAAGTCAAGTTTTTGTGAATTTCAATTGAATATATTTATTTTTTCTATCGTTTTATTTCTACTTGTACTATGCTGCATATTGCAAACCATAAAATTCTTAGTGATTTGAATTTTTTTGCTTTTTAGGGGCATAAATGAGTGTAATGAAATTGACAAAACGAATCATAACGCGTTTGAAAAACTGAGAAAAAAGTTGTACAGGAAGAGCAAAGATGTCAAAATAAGCAGTGGGGCAGTGCTATTCGTAGAATGTAAAACATGTCAGGAGCAAATTAACTGCTTTTAGGGTTCTTTTGTACAAAAATTTCATTTATATACCTTGCTTCACGTGTTTTCTTGCTTTGTGCATTCTATTTATAGCCTTTTACTTAAACATTCCGAAGAAATACATTTTGCATATTTGAGCAAAATGTTTATTTTGAGGCTAATGGACATTTTTAATGTGTCTTTATAGATTCTGTTTTCCTACCTTTTTCTATGTTTGTGTTTCCGTCATCAATATACTCATTTCCTTGGTGCATATTCACCAGAATAAGTTTATTCGGATTATAGTTTGAGTAATATGTTTGTTTGACTCCTTTTATCTGTTTTTTTATTTATTGTAGGATTAATATGTTGCTATGTTGAATATCTATTAATTTTGCTCATGTCTTTTGTGCACTTTTTTTTAAAATTTCAGATAACTACTGTCGGGGAATAAAATGCAGTTTGTCGTGAAAATATGTATTGAAAAGTATGGAAGAAATCTTGATTGGTTCTAGGGAAGAATCTTCTAAAGACCAAATTTTCTTGGATAAACTGCAGTCGCTTCATTTTCTTTTTTGAATTGATAAAAGTTCTAGGTTGCAGATGAAGATGTGTAAAGAGGGAATGAAGTTAAACTCTTTTGTTATATAGAAACAGATTGTGAATAAAGCAATCACTGACAGTGCTTGCTTCAAACATGCTTGCCTGATTTCGGCCTACCCCTGGTTATGCTATAATCTATTACGGAACAAGTTGGTTTATCGATAACCGTAATTAACTCGTCAGATAACTACTGTCGGGGAATAAAATGGAGTTTCTCGTGAAAATATGTATTGAAATCGGATTAGGTTTATAAAGAGAAATGAGTCCGGAAGCAAGAAGGGAAAAGGTGAAGTGTTAGTAACGATAATGCACTCGATGATCATAGTTGAACATGGGTGAAGTCAGTGAGACAGTATTTGCCTTGACATTGATGACTGGCTTTGCAACAAAAGACATTTATTTCATATTAAATAAATACATGGCAATGTGAATTTCTGACAGTGACATTCCAGTGGAGTATAGGGAAGTTCACAGCTGGATGAGATCAATGAAATAGGTACGCTTGGGTCACATTTCAGTGTCTTGCGACTCGTAGCTTGCACTAATAGCTTAAAATAGAAAGAAAGTATAGGAATTTTACGTAAATTAACATCATTTTCTCGACAAACAAATGATTGATATAAAGTTAGAACTTCGACTAAAATATTTCACTAACTACTGAATATTTAAAATATAATTTCTCGCCAACTCCCAATATCTCCTTCTCTTTCAATATTTAAAAAAACACAATTGACTTTATTTCCGTCAGCATACCTTCTTCCTTTTTAGTCTCATAAAAAATATACAAATCAAAGTTTTTACTTTTGCCAACTTCTCATGTTCATTCTGAACTCAATTTCTTCTATCCATTCAACAGCATCGATGTGCCGCCGTGCTATATTATTTAATAATAATAATAATAATAACACGTGCTGACTAAATGGTTCATGTAGTTTATAGTTATTTTAAGTGTAATGGAACGACATGAATTTTTAATCCCCAAGTTAAAAAAGTTAGAAATGAGAAATAACTTTGAAACTAAAAATTTTCTCTCTCAAGGGTATAGGATAAAATAAAAACAACGATTTTGGTAGTAATTCTTTGCTTCTCGGTTTTGCAGAAGCTCACGAAAAGCAAACCAGAATGTTAAAATGGTAATAAAAACTTTGTACGCCATACATTATTCAGTTGTGTTCTACCGTCTAGCAAAGTGATAAGTTTCAATGCAAAAATTTATCAAAATCGTCGTCTTGCTGGACATTGACCTTTCCTTTCTTTTCTGGAAAAGCGCATAATTTTCTGCAAATCTTCGTCATTCCATTCCAACACAACTGTTCTTGTACCAAAAACAATTCCTGGTCGACTTATGTCATTCGTGTCATTTCCCCCTAAAAAAATTTAATCACTTTTAAAATAATTCGGCACTTTACAGTTGTCAAAAAATTATAGCAAAGAGAATCAGTAATTTACAAAATCTTTCGTTGAAATAATTCAAAGTTAATTTTTGCTGACACTTCATTCATTCAGGCTTTCACCTTTCACCTTTCATAATTAAATATTTTAAAGACGACAGACCAAGTATGAAATATTTTTTCCCCACTCGTATTTTGGGACATTTGCAAGCAGTACGTTTGCCAGATATCCATAATGACTGCTCACCGCGGCGTAAACGAATTTCAGCATCACGTTTGTATATTGCTAATACCAGCAACCGATACTTACTCCATCCATCTACACTTTCACGTCCTGTTATTTGTACTTCAACCGCTGAATAGAAAGTTCACTTATACTAATATTGCGTAAAAATGATTATTGGAAATTTCAAAATCTCCAAAAAATACCCTTTTCAATATTAATTAAATACAAAAAACATAAAATTGGAAAAATTACCGTAATCTCTCCTGCAGTACTTTTTCTGCGTTAATCGTTTCGGTGCAGCTCTACATTTCGGACATTTGGCTACAAAATTATTTATGGTAGCTCACGGAGAACGATTTTTTGACGTTATCGAAAATTAAATTTAAAAAAAATCGGCCTTCAAATATTCTTACCATCATGAATTATTGCTGACCCGCTGACAGGAATACCTGAAATTTCATTATTCAGTTGTTCAAGAAAAGGAAAACATCAGCTTAAGTTTCTTAAAAATGTTTAATTGACTTACAAAGTAAATTCTGCAATCAGACGCTAAAAAAGAATTACGAAATTCATCAATTAAGAAACCAGAAACTTTCACTAATATTAATTTATCGCTTTTGTTAGCCCATCAAACTTTTACTTAATTTATTTCATTACTTCACCGTTAATCTTTTTGTCAATTTATTCACAATATAAAAATTTATCGATATCTTTTGTATACTATCAGAACGCGATTATTAATTTCTGTTAAATTTATATTGAAGGAGTGAATGAGTGCAAACAAAAATAGTATGTTATCATGTTCAGAAAGTCTTTTACAAGTTAAGAAAAAAGGTTCGATTCCCTAATGCAGTGTAGCATTACTATTTGCTTATGCTTTTGTCTTAAGTGAAATGTTGATGAGTTCAATGCATTGGACGATGAAAGAGGAATTGAAAGGAGACCAAGGGTACTTGATCCTGTCATAAAATGCAAGCCATAAAAGGAAGATGAGGCAGTAGAATAGTGATAGAAAAAAGTGAAACGATAGTTAAGAAGCAAAAGGAACCCCGTTTCTGAATATAAATCAGGTTCGCTGCATGAGTTTTTGGTGTTGAGTGACATATTCAACTGTATGGAATTAGATCGGATCGGAACAATTTGGGGTTTGATATTCTAACCATTTCTCCCTTTTGGTTATATGAATAATACTCAGTGATGGGTGAGGCAATTCCGCACCATCTTTTCAACAGCTGATCCTATTTCTCTTTCTTCTCCATTTCCGAACTTATCCTTCAATTGATTAGCTCACCATAGCAATTTATCAGAATGCATTTATTGGCACATTGCCTTCCTTTTGGGATAGTATAAAATAATCTCTTGAGATGTATTGACAGCTCTCCCCAGTTACTTAGATAAATGTTTTTTTTTTCTCCACTTGTAAGTGGTAGAAATGAAAAATGATAAATGAAAACTATCGACTCATCATTTTGACAGTTGATACCTCATCATTTGCATGATTCTTTAAAAGAAAACCATCCGAAAATAGTTGATGAAATATTTGTTTCACTTTTCCCCAGCGTAATGAAAATTTTAAAATAAAACTCAAGCAATAATAGACGAATATCGCAACAGCTAATAATAAAACTTACGAATGCATGGATGGAGTGGCGAACGACTTTGCTGGTATCCTTTCGAACACTGATTGCAGGTCAAACCGGTGACACCATCTTTGCAGATACATTGTCCACTGCTTTGATTGCAACTTCGTGAAAGTGAACCAACAGGATGACAATTACATGCTGCAAGTTCCAAAATTAAAATTTATTTCAATTTTACTCAATTCATTTTCCGATTAGATGCCGGCTAAATTGAGCTAAAATAACTTCCATCTATTATTCAGTAATATTCAAGTTCAAGATCACATTTTTTTAACAGGTTAACCAAATTTATTCTTTCAACTTTTCACTTCTCTTCCTATCCACTTTGTTCACATTTAACTTTTTGCTCACAGTCTATAAATTTCAGCTGATGAACACCACAGTTTGTGAAGCCTGTAATGCGGTCCCTAAATGTATATAAAATTCAAATGTAATTACGAATTCTAACATATGTTTAATAGAAGATATTACAACATAAAAAGGTGTAAGGTTAGATGCAATCGTTCAACAACTTCAGCAATTTGTCTAGCTTTGACGGCAACTAGTTATCCATAATGATTAATTCAGCTTAACAGTTTTGAGCATTCGACAGCTGCTATTATTTAACTAATTATCAATAATAATTAATTTGAGCAGGAACTCGCACGCGACATCACATTTCCATAATTGTTTCAAATAATATATTTTATAAACCACAAAGTTGACATTTTTTGCATATCATTATAAAATAATAGTCATATGACAGACTGTTTCTCTAGTCTGCTTATTCTATTAAGGGTGAAAGAGAGTTCTCGAATTAAAAATCCATAAGTGGAATGTGTGGGAAAGTGAATTGCTAATGCAGTTAACTAATATTGGCTCGTCATAAATAAGATACTTAAAGGTCGATTGCGAGTGTAAGAAAGAAGTGAACGAGAATTTGCATACTGGAAAGTAACACATGCATTGCTAATTGTTAAGACTTGTTTTCACATAAACGTAGTTATTTGCTCTCGATTTCGAAACTGAATAATGGAACTGTCATTATCTTTTGATTCATTCATCAAAACCCCATTGAGGTAATATAGATTGTATGAGAAAAGAGATGTGAAGACATTATATTTTATTGACGCACATTTCATTCATTTCAGATTCACACCCTCCTAAACCATTCAATTTTCAATTACAATGAAACAGTTCAAACAGTTTCAAACGCGTTCTTTTTTTACATATTCCTACGCATGTAATTCTTTGTAGTACATACAAAAATTTTCAACTTTCTTCAAACATAATGCTTAGTGTTGGCCATAAGAAAAAGGAATATCCCCTAATCAAGCAGTGTTTACATCTTATATTATTGCATGAAAGCATTTCAATGAAATATATAAACTTCCTTTGAAATTAAAATTTGAGAAATGATGATTGAAATTTTACGGACGGAAGACAAGACAGCTCTTTGGCAGAACATAATAAATATCATGAATTGATTCAGTTTAAAGATAACATATGAAATGATAAAACGTTGCTGATGGTAATTTTAGCTATTTCCGTTATCAGCGACCGATACGGAAATTGGATGCCAGTTTGAAATTGGCCAGAATCCTCTCCATAGTTCCTTCATTCCCTGTACTATTTTCCTGCTTCCCGAATGCTTAAAATTCCTCCTTTTTGCTGGGTTGTTAAGGCCGAATTAATGAACACTCATTTCTTTACGAAGATAGAATGAAATTGAGTTAGCTTAACTTCAATAAAATGCAAAAAGTAGACGGGCCGAAGCAAAATGAATGGTTCTTTTACTTATTTATATAAGGGAATGCTCCAAGCCCTAATTCAATGAGAATGAGCAATAAAATTAACAGAGCTGACGAACATTTTACTACATTCATAATGCAAATTTCTCGTTTAATGGAACATTTATAATTTCAGCTTATCGATTTATCACTCAAACAAATTAAACAAATAAAATTCGAATTTTGTATGATCATTATCACTAGCTTTATTTAAAATATTGAAAATTAATCTTTATTCCCACAAAAGATACCTTTACAAGTTCTTCGATGTGTTATTGATTTTGTCAGATCTCGAAAATATCCTGGTTTACAGTAATGGCAATTACGACCGGCTGTGTTATGTTTGCAGTTAATACAGATACCGCCGCTCTTATTACCACTCAGCCTATACAATTCCATATTAAATCGACATCTTTTCGCATGTAGGTTACAGTTACAAGCTGAAATTTCAACTTTTTAAATTTGCAATAAACATATGATAGCAAATAAATGGCACAGCTAAAAATCAAAAGATTTCTCCCGCAACATTGTTTTCTGCAAAATTTCAGATTTTGTTAAGACTTGAAATGTTTAATCTTGAACTTTTTCATTTATAGTTTATATCGAAAGATCCAGAAATATTACTCTTTAATCTTTAAGCAAAAAAAAGTCTTAAAAGTACATTACTTATTCAGTCACATTCCGCAAAAGTCGGGATGAGAAATCATGAAAATTATATCTTCTTTGATTTATTTGCTCCGAGCAAATATGCAAATAGCAGGAGCAGATGTTTGTTTCAAAATGTGTTGAAAGAGTCACTATGTTAATTTCTTTTAACTATAAAAACTGCCCACGGTCAAAGGTTAGAGATCCAAAAAATCTATAAGACAATGAATGGCTTTAAAAGTAATATTAGCACTCATAATTTTGTTGAAAATATTGTCATATTTGAGCTTTTAGTGCACGACTTTCATAAACCCCTAAACTGAAGTCAATTCACCTATATTTTATCGAGTCGTTTTTTTCTGGTGTCTACCAATGCCATGCAGAAACAGTGCAAGTTTCCATGAATTCCAAATTTTCGTACAAAGTTAGAAGAAATAGCAAAATATTATAAAATTTCATCAACCAACATCACAGTAAACAAAACTTTAAAAGTTCACTATGATGTTGGCTTATTAATAGCATTCAATTTTTTTTGGTTTATTTATTTTTCTGATTCAATAATTTTATTATAACATAGTTGCGAAATAGAGTCTCCAAATTATGAATAGCTATAATTATTAAACCTCAAAATTTTCAAAAAAAAGCTAGGGTTTTGACTCGTTTATTTTGCACTGACTGTGCATGAAAATAGATATGATAAAAAACTTTTTTGGACAGAAATAAAAATTTAAACATATTATTATAGAGTTTGCTCGTCATCCTTTCTTCCACTTGAAAATAATATTTCAAAAGTAATTTAGCAATAACTTTTTTGTGGCTTGAGAAATTGCAAAAAAAAAATTGTGCAAATTTTTTAGATAGGATTTTTGCGAGCATAATTCTTTCGAAAGAAACAGATGGGGAGAAAAATGATAATGATGATTGTACGCCGATGACCAGCCCCAAAAAGATATTGTTTTTAGAGTGAAGTGGCATTAGTATAAGCATTCTATCAGCATCATCTTAACCTAGTATTTTTCTTCCTCTTCCTGATGATGGACCGCCAATAACCTACAAAAATGCCGCCCAATTATTCAATTATAAATGTGCTAACGAATTAATCAACACTTGAAGATTCCATTTTATAGTAACGATGTTAGAATAATCCTATTAACAGCCAGACGGAAACCAGCAGGGAAAATAGATTTTAACTATACTGTCAATAAATTACAGAAAGCATTTTGGAATTCGTAACTGTGATAAAGCATATTGTTAATCTTTAAAATTTTTAAATGAATAAGTCTTTTAATCACAATCTCCATTTACAGACAGTTTTTCTAGTTTATAAAGACTTAAAAAATTTGATTGTATAGAACATTTAAGTTATTTTGGTAATTTTAAAATAGATAACTTGGGAATCATTTTCATGAATTCGAATTTTTCCCAATTTTAATTTCGTTTAAATTAAATTTTAAAGATTACTCATATCTTCGTCTTTTTCCAAAACGTTTCACAAAATTTTGTTAAAGATGTATCAGTTGTTACCTCCCTAGAAAAAACTAAAGAAATGATTTACCGACGCAGTGGTTGGCATTTTCCGAGGTAGCACGGCCCCACGGGCGGTCCAAATGAAATGTCTTGCAGCGCTCACAATCAGCACCAGCTGTATTGTGCTTGCAATCACAAATGTAATTGCCCGTTTTATCCAATATGCACCTTGAAAACAATTTACACTATGTAGATATTTTTTTTGAATTAGATATAAATCCTTAATTGGAAAATTTTTAATTCAATCACATTTCAAATCCTAAAAATCTACTTGACACTTCTCGCAACAATGGGCCTTAAGTTAATTCCAATTTTTTTTTCATTCATTTACACTGATCAAACCTGGAAGCATGACCATTGCACTTGCAACGACCGCCGACAGCTAGCTCACCCACTGAATAATAATAGCGCTGCTTCAACCGGTCCATATCAGTTATGTTCGCTCCTATTTCATTTGTTAAGCCATATAATTCAGCCTAAATTACACTATTATCAAAAAATTGTTTGAATTTAATGGTGAAATTAGGTGTTCTAATTTGAAATTTTCGCAGTGGACCAGTAGTGCAGGTTATGGAATTTCACTATTTGATTTTTAGCCCATTTAAAACCTTCTTGAGCACAGAAGGATCGAGAAATTTTGTATAAATAGGTGGTTAAGGATAATAAACACTGAAGAACATTTTGCTAATAACTGAACATGTAAAATATTCGCACATTATAAAGAAAATAATACCTGATCAGGACTGAGTCGATTAAAAATAACACGTATGTCAGTGGCAGTAACCCAATCTTGTAATATGGGTGAATGTTCAAATTCAAATGCTGATGGACGACCTTCCAGGGTTGCAAAGGCTACCCGGTTCGGCACTGAGGTCAATGCATGAGTATTGGTACATAATGCTTCCTGTATAATTAAATAAGTAAATGATTAACAAAATGATCAAATGAATCGGTCGTCATAATTGAAATTAATAGTTAACAAACTGACAGTAATAGTATTTGAACATTATATTTTTATGCGGTGTATTGAAATCTGATATAATACCTGTTCATTATATTTGCCAATTTTAATATTTGGATTGCGATCATAGATCTTTTGACACTCTGTTGAATAAAACTGGAATGGTATCCAAGTTTTCCCGAAATCTACTGATTTGTAAAAGGCCATAGAATCAGCAAGACGATTGCAAAATTGTACTGATATATAGGTTAATTCGTACTTTTTTCCCAGTGATAAAGTTAACGTCACATTATGTGGATATTCGGTACTTGGTTCTGACATCCAACAGGTCACATTTTGTAAATTATTCAAATCTGTCAAATGAGAAGCTGGATGAGATCGAGTTTTGCTAGTTGCATCGCAAATATTGCACACTTCTTCCATCACTCCCATTGCATTCTCACGGAGTGTACAGTAGCTGAATTTTTACAATTTATTTTATTCATTTTATGATTCTTCATTAATTTTATTAAAAATACGAATTCAATCAAGGAATTGGATAGAAAATTTGCTATTATCAAAAGTATATTCTCTCAATAATTCAAAACTCACCTATCACAATCTGATCTATTATTATACAACAATGTGAAACTCATTCAAATGCACATTATTTTTCAAATTTGCAAAATCTTATTTCTTCTTCAAAAAAATCACATACTTCGTTATGCTACAATTTATTCGTTTTGAAAAGTGTGTCTTTTGTTATACTGTAAGGTTTATTTATAAAATAGTGGAGTTAAGCATATTATATGAAAATGATCTTTGATTTCAAAATTTTTTTTGCTTTTAGAGCAAGACAAATTTATTGTTGAACATATAAATTATTAAAAATGAAATTTTTTCAGTCAATTAACAAGATATGGAAAATAACAATTGAGAGGGAAATTGGTAATTAGCGTGAACCAGGATTAACATTATTATAATCCAGGTATCCAAAGCGAAAGGAAAGCAACATACCCTGTTCTCTCTTCTGTAATTCCTATTACAAAAGTGTCATCAGGAAACTGACCTCATCATTGTCCTCAACTCAACAATCTCTTTCCTGTTTTTATATGACATAAAATTACTATATCATACCATTGTTTTATTCTTACACTAAGCAACATAAATTATTTTCCAAGAGGCTATCTCATCTTCCAGACATAGACGTTGCTTAAGACGTTATTGATTTAATTAAAAAAGATCTCTTTTCAGTAAGTGATAATTCTGGAAAATTAAATTATTTAGCTAATTCATTTAATATTTATTTTAAAAACTATAGCCAATCTATATCGACTTTAAACAAAATGTTTTGCAATTTGATAAATTTTACCTAAATTTTGACAAATTAGATCACCGAATTTTTTCCAATCGAAAAAATTATTTTCGTTATCTCTTAAGATCCTTTTTTTAATGTAAAAAAACAAAACCTGCTAAGCGCAACTCGAAGCGTTACAAAGAAAATGAAAAACAATTCTTCAAAATGTTTGTTGAATAATCTTTCTCACACAATTTATTCGGAATATTTATTATGCTATAAATAGTGGTCAAAGGTTACAGGAATCTCCTCAAATCATAAAGTTATATAGCCGATCCACTAAATGCAAATGAGATGTCCAAATCCATTTAGACATCTCATAAATGTGATTTTTTAAAATTCTATTCTTGTAATAGCTTTTTCCGATTAACAGCTATTGCTATAATTATTTCTATAAGTTTTTCAAGGTTTGAACTTAAAAAATGAGTTATAAATTACGTTTTTAAACAATCTAATAAAAGCATAAAATTTCGCATTTTAAATAATTTCCTAATGCCATTTTTTATATTGCAATTATACTTCAGATAAATTTCAAAAATATTCTTCACAAAATTTTATTAGTCTCGCTTTCTGTTCATAATTATACCCAGGATATTTTTCTGTTAACATTTAAATTTGCAATGAAAAATTTTATTATGTTAAAATTGCTATTTAATAAACTGATCCTTTTCTAAACAACTACAAAAGTTTCCTGAAAGAGCCAATTATTTCGAAACTAATTAAAAATTGAAAAATCTCATAATATTCTAGAGACTATTTTATAAAATTGATACATAGAAAAAAAACAAGCTGTGTAAATGATAATTTTTGGTCTAAGAAAGTTTGCTTAAAATTGCTGCGATTACGTTATAAATCTTATTAATACGGTCTGTTATTTACTGATGATGTGTAATATATTTCACATAAAAAAGTCAAACGTAAATTAAATTCTCATTCCTTACATATACTGTTTCAGAAGCATCATTCAAGATTAGTATTCGAAATAAAAGTAATTTTTCACGAAAAACGAAATCTTAACAAAATTGATGGAAATAAGTTTGCTCAACTCTGAAGACAATAAATGGAATTAGCATTACTGACTTTTTGATAATTTTAATTTACAAACCTTATATATTTTATACATTTGCACAAGATAAAAACATTGACGGATTTGTGAAAATCATGATAAGAAATTTTTTGGTAATAAATTATTGTAAAATTGAAATTTGCATTAAAAAATTAGCAAAAATAACAAAAATTCACCTCGACGGTCCAGACTGTCCGCATGTGTTGGATGCAGTGACTGGTTTGCCAAATGCGGCATTAATAAAATCCGGAACACAACGTATAGGACGCCCGGCATGATCGTAACAGGGATCATATTCCGGTTCTCGAAGTGAAAATTGTGAAAAATAAGCAGCCCAAATATGATATATTCGCAGTAAGAAAATAATTATAAAAGTTAATAGTGAATACATTTCAGCACAAATATTATCAATTACATACAATGGGCCACAAATGCATGAAATGGTAACTTCTTGCTAACTTCAGTTGGATTAAATAATAATGCGATAATTAAGATAACATTTCTGATGACTTTACAGACGGCATACGCTTTCGAGATTCTATCAATGAATGGTTGTGTGGAAGGAGTAATAATAGGCCTGGCGATCTGGGAAATGAATAGAAAACTATGGCAGATGCAGTAACATCCACCAGAAAATATGCGCAAAAGGATCAGATGGGCGTGGCAGTTCACAGTTTCTGGTTGGTGCTACGATGGAAGAAGACAAAGTGGAAAGACCGTTACCGAATGAATTCAATTCACTTCTTTCCACCCCACCCACTCATTTATCCATCTTCCCTTCTTTCTGCTTAACCAAATTTTCTTGCTTCTGTCTGAAACTAATTAGCTAATATGAAGCTGTATTGGATACGGTAGTATAGTTTTACCACCTATTTGTATTTCTATATTAATGCGATCGAAACTGTTGTTTAAGCAATCATTCATAAAATGAAAATCACAGGAAATTAATTAAAATTTAATCAGTTCTAAAAGAAGAGATATTCCGTGTCCGTTAATCATTACTATTATACAGTCATGAGGACAATAATGATAATGATTATGATGTAAAAACGATAAGAAAGTAGCGATTTATTAAACTGATTTATTTTCGACAACACAATATCCGATATCTCCTAAAGAACTTAAAATTTCGTTCCAAATTAATAAATGTCAGCAAATACTGAAATACATAAATTATCAAAACAAAAAAAAAAATTTATCAGTATGTTGAGAATAGAGGTGACTTCAATGCTTATTCCTCTCATTAACAATAACTTGAATAAAATGATTCAGCGAATTATCATGTAAGTTTGAAAAGCTCGATGCGTTCAAATATATAAGTGTCATTTAGTCGCGGCAAGATAAAATCGAAAAGAATAGCGGTAATTTCATCAAGCTAAAACTAGAAGAAGCTATATTGGCTTGCTTGGCAAAGAACCATTTATGTTTAATTTAATGAATATCACAAGGGATCTAACCCTCTTCTTTTCATTAATATTGGTCAAGAATATTTCTGTTTGCGCCATTATCATTTAGAAAAGCAGCGCAGTTTGAATGATTGAATGGCAATGATAAATTCTGCTATTGTACTTACATTAACATGGCTATCAGCTGCTTTTACTAAAAGAGATTAATTTGAACTAAATTATTATCTACAAATTTCAATAACGTACAGCACTGATACATACTTCTAGAGAAATTTTGATGGTTTAAATTTGAAATAGCAATAAAATTGAAAATTAAGCTATAATTCAAAATAATTCACTTGCAGACATATCAGAAATGAAAACAGCGACAATTGAGTCATGAAATTAAAAGTTAAATAGAATTGAAGTTAGGAAAAAAAATTAATATAGTCCGGTTGTTCCGGTAACTTTTAATATTTTCTAAAATTCCTTCTTAGTGTTTAGTGTCCTTCAATTTCTTTTTAGGATGTAAAAAACTATATTAATTTCTTTCCTAACTTTTAATTCCATCTATATCTAGAATTTAAAAGAAAAAATGGAGGCATATGATGACGAATTAAGATTCAAATTTTTAATTAATTTTAAAACTTTTTTTAGAAATTATATAAAAGAAAATCATTTCCGTTCTCAAAAATTCGACCATTGAATGAGTGAAAATATTGCATAAAAATAGTACAAAATAATCAATTATTAAAAATAGTTCTTTCACATATCCTTATTCCTTTTGTTGCATCTGTAGATTTCTTATTCAGATAGAATTGGACTTTCTCAAAGTGTTTCTCACCACATTGACATTATGATCGAAGAGGTTCTCGCAATGTAGCCATGAATTGCGGGAACCTCTTTCATTACCATTGTCAACAATTCGGTCGTTCAATTCCAATATCTCCTTGATGTGGCAAGTTGAGATTTCTGCAGGTGATTTAATATCGGAAAACTGTACACGTTTCGAATTCTTAAAAAAATAATTCTTGGGATAGAAGCAATATATGTATAAAGCTGTTTTCAAATGATGTAGTTAACTTGAAGACTTTAATACAAACATATTACATTCTCTTCAAGTCTCTCGATAATATCACCTTCACTTTTCTTCCGAACTGGTGTGGTCTTTATTGAAATGCAGGTCATATGTGAATTCTAAAAACTTCCCTCTGCTTATTTGTAATATTTTTAAAAATAGGATAAAGACCAAGGAATTATACGGAGTGGTATAGT